CAAGGAGTGACCAGGAACAATGGTCACAAGCTGGCGGAGGGAAGGTTTAAGTTGGACATCAGGAGGCGCTGCTTCACGGTCAGGGTGGCTAGAGTCTGGAACCAGCTTCCAAGTGAGGTGGTGCAGGCTCCCACCCTGGGGGTTTTTAAGAGGAGGTTGGATGACCACCTTACTGGGGTCATTTGACCCCAGTGCTCTTCCTGCCATGGCAGGGGGTCGGACTAGATGATCTGCTCAGGTCCCTTCTGACCCTAGAAACTATGAAACTATGAAACTATAAGCTAAAGGGTAACTAATTCACGATGAAATAGGAGATACAGTCAAGCCAAGGGTAGGCAGCTAGAGGCCCCAGTCCAAATCATCATTAAGTAGCATTGGTTTTAATGAAATGACATTGTTGCTTGTACTCTGGAAGTGCTTACAGGTCCCGACACAGAGCACAGACTAGTGAATGCTGTACAAATGCGTAGTAAAGAGAGTCTGCGCTACAAACAGTCGGAAGCTAAATAAGGAAGTCAAAGGGTAGAGGTGGAGACTGGACTGTGCTATCCTAGACTGTGAGCATGGAGTTCCTTCTGCATAGAGCTGGGTGACACTTCTGGACCAAGCCGTTCTTTACCAATGCATGCAGGTTCAGGTTGATCCAAATGGTTTGTAAATTGGTGTTGAAATCTCTTGGCTGAGAGAGGCAAAGTGAAACCTTCCATTACAGCATTTCTAGAAGTAATATTTTAATAGTAATTTTTTCATTTTGAAATATTTTATGATAATTTTGGCTTCAATTTAATTCTAAAAACATTGTTAAGAAGCCCCAATCCCATTAACGAAACATGTAATCTTAATATTAGCTTTACTCTTTATTTTTCTGATTCAGCTAGTGCATAAAGAAAAGAGCTATCCATCTTCCCAGTTCTTGCCCTGAATGAGGAAAGGACAGCTTGGCAACCTGCTGTGGCCTCTGATGCTGCTCACTGGTACCATATAGAGATTTCATTGGTTTTTAGCTTTTTCCTCCTTGTGACTATCAATTGAAGAAAAAAATCCAAGCATCAGCAAACCCCAAACAAAATCCTGATCTCTTATTCTAGTGCTTCACAGTAATCTATGAATTTGCCGCTAGATGGTGCTGTGAATTCAACCAAAGGAAACTGAGGAGCAATAAAATGGATACTTGTGCTCCGGGCACAGTCAGAACACACCAGTGTTTAGCAAGGAATTTTGGGGATCAGAATTGAAAGGAAATTATTTCTTTGCCTTTTGGAAGGATAAGGTGAATCCATGCATGGTCAACCTGACCAGGGAGCTCTGAGGCAGGGCTCATCTGTATGGTATGTTTGCAGAGTGACAAGGACAGCAAGGCCCTAACAGAAGCAGGCTTGTCCTGGCTCTCTACGTTCCCTCTAGTACTGCAAAGCGAGGGTCAGTGTTGTCTGATGAGCATACTAAAAACTTAAGTGCATCTAATGTCTCATCCTGTGAGATCTACAGATTTAAAAAGGTGGCTTGTGCCACTGCAGTGGTTATAACGGGAGTGCATGGTTGGTAGCTAAACAATTGACTATATGATTTCTCTAACCCCTGTTACAATGTTCCTTCCCATCTGGTGAAATCAATAGCTAGCACATGGTGAACCGTTTTGCCTACTTGCATCAAATCATAGAATCATACGAAAATGAGGGTTGGAAAGGACCTCAGGAGGTCACATCTAGTCCAACCCCCTGCTCAAAGAAGAACCAGCCCTGACTTGTGTCATCCTAGTCAAGGCTTTGTCTAGCCAGGTCTTAAAAACCCCCAAGGATGGAAATTCCACAAGATTTCTTGGTAACCTGCTTTACTACCCTCCTCTTGAGAGAGTTTTTTCCTAACATCTAACCTAAACTTCCCTTGCTGCAACTTGAGCCCATTGCACCTTGGTCTGTCATCTGCCCCCACTGAGAACAGTTCAGCTCCGTCTTATTTGGAGCCACCCTGCAGGGAGTTGAAGGCTAATACTAAATCCCACCTCGGTCTTCTCTCTGTAGATTAAATAAGTGCAGTTCTCACAGCCTCTCCTCATAAGTTATGTGCCCCAGTCCCCGAACCATTTTTGTTGCCCTCCACTGGATTCTGTCCAATTTGTCCACACCCTTTCTGTAGTGGGGGGCCCAAAACTGGACACAGGACTCCAGATGTGGCCTCACCAGTGCAAAACAGAGAGGAAGAATCACTGCTCTTGATCTGCTGGCAACACTCCTACCAATGCAGCCCAGGATGACGTTAGCCTTCTTGGCCACAAGGGCACACTGCTGGCTCACATTCAGTTTATTTATCCACTGTCACCCCTGGGTCCTTTTCTGCAGGGCTGCTACTTAGCCAGTCAGCCCCCAGCCTGTACAGGGGCATCAGGTTGTTCTGGCCTAAGTGCAGGACTTTGCACTTGTTTTTATTGAGCCTCATGATATTTCTTTTGGTCCAATCCTCCAATTTGTCGAGGTCTCTCTTAATCCTAGCCCTGCCCTCTAGTATAGCTATTACTCCCCCCCTGCTTGGTGTCATCTGCTATCTTGCTGAGGGTGCATCCATCCCATCTTCCAGGTTGGTGATGAAGATATTGAACAAAACTGGCCCCAGGACTGATCCCTGGGACGTTCTACTTGAAACGATAGTTCAGAAGTTACTTCACTTGGATGAGTTGTGGGTTAAGAGGCTACTCCATAGGAGTAAAGGCAGCAGAGTAGCTAAATAGAATTGAGCGTCATGGTAACTTGTTCTGGCATTTCTAAAGGGTTCTTTATCTTTTCCTTTCCCCCTGACCTCCTCTTGCCCTAGCAGGCTATAACATTCCTGGCCAGCTGTTTCCTCCATATCTCTGGTTCATCTCAAATCAGTGGTGATCTCTAGTACAGACAGTGTGTGTGGACATAATGTAACTCTTTGCCTTGTTTTTTTCTCACTAGTCCTATTTGGCCCGTTCTTCCCTTCAATGCTTCAGTGAGCCATTTAAGTGCAAGGAATGAAGCACAAGTTCAAAGTAAAAGATACGCTTGCATTCTTCGAAGTTGCTTTTATGGTACCTAAATAGTGAATGGAGTTTACTAATATACCTGCCTCAGCTAGACACACCCATAGATATGAAAGTCCTCATCAGTCTTCAATTCTGCAAATGCTTGTGCATGTGAATAACTAGGCAAGGTTCTTTGAGTAGATGTGTCGTTGGGGAAAAGTTCTTAGCAAGCTTTCAGGCGCAGTCAACCTTCATCAGGCAAAGGGAATAACTAAGCACACATTGCATAATACTCATCCATTTTACTAAGTTTACCGTAAGATCCTGGAGCTGATAATTCATTACAGGATTGCATATAGGGTAGACTGTTAAATTGGCGCTAGTCATTGGGCGGAAATAACACCAAGATGGGAATGGCACAAGTAACTATGTTTTAAGAAATCACAGACACTTCAGGCTTGACAAAGACTGAGACATAAAGGGCTTTGACATGACTGGACTCTGCATTTTGCCTACAGTGCATTACATCTTAACACTGAAGGCCATTGAAGAATAGCTTAAACTGTACAGATGATTATCTGTTTCTTTTAGAGGGAAATTAACGTGTCATGGATTACAATGCTGGTACTAGTGGCTGGTAATAAATATACTATGATTCAGAATCCTGCAGCATTTTCTACTAGTGCAATGAACTCTAGATATGCAACAGCACAGTCATTCATCTCCAAGTTTCTGCAGCCTTCAAGCTGGACTGAATCCCAGCTACCCTTAAAAAGCACTTTCAGCAACTTGCTTGCAACACCCATAGTAGAGAATTTTTGTCAGCAGCTCTATGGCTCCAAAACTCACCTCTACATAATTCGTGTCAGAGAACTCAAACAAAAATTTAAATGTTACTCCCAAACATCTATGCATGAGGGAGAGGGCAAAATAAAAAGCAATTTGTCATATGAAAATAGGAACAGCTACATGCATTTCACCTTAAATATTAACTTTGCTAAAGTACATATAATTCCAATAAATTAACTGAAAATATTAAGAGGAACTGAGTAATAAATGCCCTCCCATAAAGTGCAGCTGAAGTACATACATTTTTTTGAGCTATTTGCTTGCTTTGGGTTAATAAGTAAGGCAGTGTATACGTGAGGTAGGGAAATAGAGATTCTAAGCTCCCCCCCCCCTTTTTTTTTTCTTTCTCGCTCCTAAACAAATACAATGAAAGTCACAGCAACAATGGCCTGTAATCTCAGGTCAAGTTTCATACGTTTTTTCCCATGTGTAGAGATTCTGTTCTACTCTTGATGGATCCAATCCAGCTCTCAGCAGTCAGCAGGCATTAGCACAAGCTCTTGGCCAAACAAACTTGTTTGACACAGAATTTGACTTTTAGTCACAGTCCAAAAGAAGGAGGGAGTAAAGTGTTACCTTGCCCCCCGCCACTCCCAGGTAGCTACAAAAATATTTCAAAGATGCTGCTATGGGGAATGGTTCCCACCAAGATTACCTGCAGCACTAATAGTTGGAAAAGAAAGTTATTTTTCTGTTGCTCTTCTAATTGTTTACAGTATTTTGTCCCATTATATGCAGCCATCCATGGTTCTACCCACACTCTGCTCAATTGCTGGTTGGGTGGTAATGACCCAGAAGTATTGCTTGGCCTACTAGAGTGCCAAGATCCTATGCGTGGACAGGGCAGAGTCTTCAGTTCCTCTTGATGGCTGTGTAGGGCCTTGAAATAGTCTTCCCCATGGAGGGACTGGGTAAAAATTTGACAGTGGATCCAAAATGCTTATGCTAAGCCTGGACAGAATTCAGAGATGTCTGACTCATGCTTGTCATTTCTGATCATTTGTCATGTTTTTCTAAGAATTTGTACCTAAGCATGCAGTGATAATCTCTGTTGCCAGCACTGGAGAACACCGGCTGAGGTTACTATAATTATCTGTTTCACAGCCATGCCTCAGGTAGCAGAGTAGAATTTGATGCCTCATGCACTGAACAACCCTGCCTTCCATAACCAGGTAATAATGCTTCTAAAATGATAATGGAATACCTACCTCTTCTATAGCACTTGCCATTGGCAGATCTCTGCATGCTTTACCACAGAGGTCACTTGTGATTAACCCCATTTTACAGATGGTAATAGCTGTGCTGTGTACCAAACCCCCCAGAAGCGTGATATGATTTTGGCTGAAAGCTAACAGTGTTGTTGTGGTATAGGTATTCTATTGTGCTGTGATAGTCTAGAGGATGAAGCTTATTGTGTATGAGGCTTTGACTACACTGTGTGATTTGATATGTACTTTGCCAAGCTACCTCAGTTAAGTAACATGATGAATATCTGCATTAATTTGGAAAATGATCTGCATAAGATTTCACATAGATTACTAAGCCATTTTATTTGTTCAAAGTTGTGTGCGCGCATGCTTTTTCCCCAAAAATAATTGTGACATCTGGTATTTATCTAAAAATAAGGAAGTAAACCTTATTAATCAACAAGGCTGAGAAATGTGTTCAGCTTCATTCAGTTCCTTTGCAGGAGAATAAACTAATCCCTGAGAATATTGTGTATGCAAAGCTCAGTTGTAATGGAGCTGAGCTTCTATGCCTATCCTCCCACTAAACCCAGATGCTAAATTTATTACACCTAGAAAACTGTTACAATAGAGCAGGGGCAGGAAGAGAAGTTTTTGTTGGGGCAAAAGAAGGGAGAGTTATATAGGGTTTAAGACTGGTGCAGCAGGTCAGCAGTTCGACATGATCAACTTCAAGTTCTTTTCTTGGCTTCAGCGAGGGTTATTCATATGGTCAGATTTGAACAAAGGCTTAAGTGTTTTGCTCAAAGAGAAACCTGCTGGTCTGTCAACCTGTGTGTAAACCTTCTTTGTAGCTCTTTGGCACTGCTTCCTTGTACTGCAGTTATCATTTTAGTATAAACCCTGCCTAATAGATGGATCTCCCATGAAGGTGGATCTTCAGTGTCAGATCTCCTGTTTTGGTTAGCTGTCCTGCCCCAAGCCAGTTCAGACACCCCCCAAGAAATATATACATAGATCCTTTCAAAGGAATGAAACCTAAATATTGGCACTGTGGAAAAACAGGAGCCAACCAATAGGGATATTTGCAAGAAAAGAACATTACAGTTTTCAATGAAATGTGTACCATGTGTTCCTCTAGTTCAAAGCATTCTCATTAAGAATAGCTGTGCAAAACTGAATGGACCAGGCTGTGTCCACTGGCTTCTGGGTAGCGGTGCTAGCCAGGCCATTAACAAGGTACATGTATGGCACATGCTGGCAGTGGGCTGTATCACGTGTTACAAAAATACATTATCGAGCATCAAGGACCAAATTTTAAAGATGTTGTAGTTTAGTGCCAGGTTTAACTTTACAGAAGCTGAGTTTGTATAGGGAAATGAGAGCATGCAAAAACACAGGTGCCGCTTGGAACTAGCTCTTCTTTATCCAGGGTCAATGAGCTAATTGAAGTCTAGCTTGAGCAAGGAGTTCTCAAAAATGATTAAATATTTACTGAGTAAAAGAAATGCAAGGCTGCAGAATAAATACATGGCTCACTCTGTTATCATTCCAGTAATTCCATAAGAATAACTTGGAGCAGAAAAGACATCAAAAATCAGCTAGAAGGCCCACACCTGGGCAAAGCAAGGAGCAACTTGCTATCTGTAACTCTCCCTAGCGCTCTGACCCTGTTGAAGTGTCCTGCTGTTTACAGTGCATTTTTTCCCAGTTGCGCCCTCTTAACAGAATTTACAGAAGAAAAAAATGCTGAAGATTTCAAGCAATAAAATCTAGGTACAGACCTTTGGTTGGTGTAAACCGCTGTAGCTCAGGTGATGCCTGTGGAGCTAAGCTGATTCACAACACCTGAAAGTGGACTGCAATGACAAGAGTTTGTTCCTAAGGGCTTTAGCCTCAGTGTTATCCTGAACCAGGATGCATAGCTCATGTACCACTGTGGAGCCCTGTGTTCCACATTTTGCCCTTCTTCCCTGGATTTCCAAAAGGGCATCTATGCATATGCACCTTTTGGGGCTGGCAAGTCCCATAGTTGCGTGCTGTTATGCACCCAGGGGCCTTCTGAAATTAAACATGTAGGAATGAATGCTGCCAGGCTTGCTGGCACAGACTATGCAGTGAACATACAGTAAAAGTGTACGTGCACTGCCATTAATGGAATCAACAAAATCACTTTAGATTCCTATGTCCATATTCACCATATTTGCATATCTGACAATATGGCATCTTGGTTTTGTACTGGTCTTCTGCTCAAAAAGTGAAGTTCACCCTAAAGGCCATACACTCCTGCTCTTACTACAGTGGATTAGTGCTTCACGCCACAGGTGGTCCAGGGATGTCAGTGGCACTCGCTGCTCAAAGACAGGCAGAATATGGCATCCAGAAAATAAAAAAAAAGCACTTAGCCCTGGCATGCACAAAGCTTTTGTTATTCTGTAACCACGATGGTGCTGCGTGTTCACCAAAATAAATTACAGCATTGCAAACCCTAGCGGGGACATAGTAAAAATGCCCTGTGCCAATGCAGATATCTCTCTTCCCGTATACCGCTGTAAGCACAATTATACTAGCTTAGCTGCCTCTACTCAAGGGAGCCGGTATAATTTTAACTATATTAGTATAGTTAATTCAGTGTAACTTTTGCACGTAGACAAGGCTGTGACATAAGCTTAGCATGTTTACCAGCCAGGCTCTTGCCTGTTTGACCATGTTGAATGCTTGGAAGATGCTTATCATGTGACTGTTTCCTTATCATTGCAAGCCCCTGGCATTAACTTATAAAATAGGAGAAAATTCTTACATGCATTTATTTGTTTATTTAAAAGCAAATTATTTAAATAATCTTTGAAATACATCAAATTAAAAAAAGGGGGGGGGAGGAGTTGATACCTTCCTTATCTCCTTTTATAGGCTCCACTTTTCCCCCATGCAGGGTTTGTTATCTGTTTTAAAGAATTCTGTTGGAAGCTCAGACAATATCCCACAAACAAACTGCAGGTGCATTAGTAACTCAGTAAACCACAACAACCAGAGACCTGTAGTAGCTACAATATACTTTGAATGCACACATCAGGTGCCACTGAAGGCGTTTCTGCTGAAATAAAGGCCAATTATTTATTCAGTATCATTAGCTAAACATTTTATTGATCAAAAGCAAAGGGACAACTTTTGTACTGGGCAGATTAAACTTTAAACTCTGCTGAGAAATCACCTTGAACTCACAGTGGTTTTGTTGTCTCCTAGTATTGTGCATAATTATATGCAAATATAAAAAGAATGGCTCCTTCCATGATGATACAATACCAAAAAGCAGTTATCTTTTCTTTTAAAAACATGAAAACAAAAGACAAAAAGAAAAAGGAAACAGCATTTTTTACTTATTTGGACTGACATTTTAGGTCAGATTGACTATCTTTGCCAAAACAGTGAGTGGGTAGGAAGTGGTGCTTAGATGGCTGCCATTCTGGTAGAAGACAAGGTGTTTGTTATGGCAGGGTTTACTAAATGGCTCTTCACAATTCCTCTTCCTTGTGTGCGAGCAAGTTTTTAGTCACAAGAACAAATGTTGTGGTGATGGTATTTCTCTGTAGCTTTTTTTTCCCCAAGGAATTATGGGAAATAGCAAAGGTCTGTCTACTTCATCTCTTTAGCTAGCATAAATTCTTCAAGCAGAATTTCATCCTGAGACCTATCAGGTATCCAGGTTGTAGCTGTATTGGTTTAGAGGAAAAGGCAATCGGGACTCATAGTAGAGACGATAACTTTTATTAGACCAACAAGATTTTTGCAAAAACATTTTTTTTTGCAAAAATTTTTGTTACTCTAATAAAAGATATCATCTCTACTATGAATCCTGAGACCTGGGCACAGGTGTTGGGCTCAGGGCCCTGAAAGAGGATTATCTGTCTTGCTATTAGTCATTGCTTCTGTTCGGGGATGGCTGCACACGTAAATAAAACAAGTTACGCTAGGAGTCAACCAGGACACCACTTCACTGATTTTTTTTTTTTTCTTCTCCGAAGGGAAAGTGACTTTGCAAGGATTTTGTTAGAGCTCAACACAAGGGGTCACTGGCATAAAAACAGTAGATGAGAGACCAAAGGGAAGAGGTAGCACAATACACAGGGGAAGGATGGTCTTTCAGGAGAACTCAGGGCTGTGACTCAAGAGATCTGGGTTTCATTCCCAGGTCAGCTGGAAACTTTCTGGGTGACTTGGGACCTGGATTGAATCAGTGTAACGTGGCACCTTCCCATAGGAAGGCGGCTTGATCCAGCAGCTCATCGCATGGTTGGTGGCTTACTGCTCATATTGCTTTTCCTTGGGACAAGTTGTTTTTGTTGCTGCCAGCTGAACGGCAGCTGACACAGTCACTCGAAGTTAGGAGTCTGCAGGGCTGTAACCTGCGTTTGCTGCTTGTTTGTTCTTCCCATGGCAGAAGGGCTTGATTCAGGGAGATGGACTGGACTGGACTGTGTTGCATAACATGAGAATTTCTCACACTATCAGTTTACAAACTGAAAAAAAAAGCACATGGGAAACCATCACTGAGCTGCCATCCTGGCAACCCTGCAGGTCTTTCAGCACTGGGTAGCCACCTCCTCCAAGACCCGCCATAAGCATTTAATCCTTGAGCGCCAAGGAGCACCCTGGTACCTGGTGCTCGCCAGCCCATCCCCACCACCGCAGCCACCACCGGCTTTTGCAGGTGCTCTCCAGCCCTGTCCTGCCGCCGCTGCCGCCACTGGCTTCTGCAAGCGCTCGCCAGCCCTGTCCCTGCCACCGCCGGCTTCTGTGGGTGCCCCCCAGACTCAGGAGGCACCAGTCCACGCTCACTGGGCATGGATGGGGGGGGAAAGGGTTCTTGAGGTTAGTCCGAGCTGACCAACAGTGACAAGTAACATAGTTGGGTAGGGACCCAGCTTGGTTCCATGCAATATCGGTGTGTTAGGTGATGAAATTAAATACAAAAGGAATGAAACAGT